ATTTGTTAACAGAAATTCTGTATTGGACGACAATCGATTATTAACTCTCCCTAATGGTGAACGTTTAAGTCTTCCGAATAATGTCCGTATTATGTTTGAAGTAGAAAATTTGAAATATGCAACATTAGCTACTGTCAGTCGTTGTGGTATGGTGTGGTTCTCTTCGGTATGTGATGATTAATTATAATATGGTTATAATATAGATTTCATGGTGATGTTAATGTTTTCATTCACATTTTGTGATTTGTAGGAAGTGGTTACTCTTGATATGATTTATTATAATTATATGGAAACTTTAAAATCTGTTCCTTTGGATGAAAGTGAAGAAGAAGGATCCTCTACTCATAATAGAGTTGAAGGAGAAGAGACTATCTCCCCACATCTCAGTACACAACGTGATATTGCTAGTATACTTGGTAAACATATGACTGAAGAAGGATTAGTCACACGAACTCTTATGGAGGCAGAGAAATTGGAACATATTATGGACTTTACTTACATGCGCGTGTTGAATACATTATTTTCTTTATTAAACAAAACTGTACGCAATGTAATTGAATACAATGTACAACATCCTGATTTCCCAATGACAGCAGAACATTTAGATGGTTATGTAACTAAGCGTCTAGTTCTTGGTGTTATTTGGAGTTTCTCTGGGGATGCTAAATTAGATTACCGTGCTGTGCTAGGCAATTTTGTTCGTGGAATAGCTACAGGTAAATTCTATGGCGCTTTCCTTATATATTTCCAACCTTCCAGTTCCATATCTTATTTTTATTTTATGTGTATGTAGTCGATTTGCCTCCTGCGCAAGTGGGTTCAACTCTCATCGATTATGATGTTCAAATCAATAATGGTGAATGGGTATCATGGACTGGCAAAGTTCCAACTATTGAAATTGAAACCCATACGGTATCTGAGGCTGATGTGGTTGTTCCTACAGTTGATACTGTTCGGCATGAAGAAATATTGTACTCCTGGCTTTCAGAACACAAACCTCTTTTATTATGCGGTCCTCCTGGATCTGGAAAAACCATGACATTATTTAGTGCCC